CGCTTTTTTTTTAAATCTGCACTAGCAGAAATAGTTTATCAAAACACGGAACATTTCTTTTAATTCTCTTATGATTCTGTACAGATGACAAGTGCAGAAGACGGAAGGCGGACAATGAAGTTTGAGGAGCTGCAAACTAAATTGGAGGATTTCATTCACTTGGCTCTCAAATTAGGATGCAAAATTATGATCAAGAAGAGTGTTGCTGGCGATTTACGGTTGGTATTGTGTAATATAAAAGTCAGAACCTCTAGTGAGCTTATTGTGATGGTAACTAGAGCCTTCTCTCAGGCTTGAGCCATTGGTTCAAATTTATTGATAAGGAAACTGATGCCTTTGCGGTTCGTTTTGATCGCAAGTTTATGCTGGCGCTTTTACAATCCCGGAGAATTAAACTGCCTTCAGCTGTTAGAGCTTCTGTCGGAAAAGGCAACCACCGAAAGTGTTGCTAGCGAATGGTTGCTGTTGGCAATATTGGCTAATTCATTTCCTAATTTCATCACCTCCTTTACTAGAATGCGGGTAGTTTCGATCTCTATTTTTAATTTTAATCGTGCAGTTATTTTCAGTTCACTTTAATCCATTTGATTTTTGCGTGAATTTTTCGTTTTTTTTTAATAGTTCATAATGGACTTATTTTTAGATGTGCCAGTCTTTTTTCAAAATTTTTTCTACCCTATTGTAGCATTTTGAGGCCGAAAATTGGAAGGGCATCAAGGTTAACAAATACCAACACAGAATTTACCTTCCGATTTTTCGCACTTAAGAAATAACATTTGCAGGCAACATTTGCAGTTACATTCCGAATTATTCGTAGGTCTAAGTGGTCACCTCGCGAACGATTCTGTTGTGGAACTCAGGCGATTTTCATGTCTGAGCAGTGTTGGAGCAATAAAATACTACATGGAAGAATCGCTATGCTTGGTGGTTCTTTCTCAGTATGCTAACCAGGTGGGCTGTTTGTTTAAAAGATTTAATCCGATGACTCATCTGAAAGTGAGCAGGAAGTTGTCTTCTTCAACGGCCGAAGAGTCGGAAATGTTTCACGCGAATTCCATGGGGTTTTTCCGAATGGCTTTTTTCGCTGTAGTGAGAATTCTAAGGGTGTAAGATTCCTGTTTCCACAGCTATTTATGTTCTTGAAAGAAGCCTCTTCGTATAGTTATTGCTTCAGTTGTATCTGGTGGTTGTTGGTCGTTGTAATTACGAAGGAACGTAAAATTCGCAAAGCATGACGGCTGCTCGTTTTTATAGCAATTCTGCATTCCTGTTTTGCCCTTGAGAACGGAAATAGCTACTATAGTAATCTGTAAAGAGGGAGCATGCATATAGGGTGGGTGACTGCTGGAAGCAAGTAGCCAAAACGGTACTGTTTTCCTTAGTTAACTTTCACTTACGGTTACAGAAAGTGCACTTCGATTGTACAAGCTATCTTGTTGACTTATTAAATTTTTAAAGTCTCTTTATCGGGGAAGAACCTAAGAAATGAAGCCATAAATATTTTTGAATTTTTAAATTTGAAAATCGCCTGGCTGAGTTTTCAGATGATGCACGATTTTGCCAGTGTTAGCATGCTATGCTGTGTACTGCTGGTCGAGAACAGATACGATTTCGTCTTCGATCTGTTTCGGTATTGGTAATTTATATGTTTAGGAGAAGTAGGAAGTTTGAGCTGTACAGAACAATACACGCGCGTCTCCCCCCAAAAATTTTGATAATGTCAACTGTAAAGGGGAAACTTAGTTGATGCTATTTGATAAGAAAAATATTTCCCAATCTTTTGCTAAGCGGTAGTTGATCTGATTAGACAGATGCACTTCCAACGTCCTTATATACTTTTTTTTTTTTGTCTGCTTCCTTTGTGACCTTTTCATTTTTCTTACATTCTTTTGCATTTACCTTTTGCACTCTTTCACTTTCTGTTTTCGATGGTTAAAATTTCACCGTTTATTTCACTTCATTCGATTTGACTTTCCCCTATCATTATTTATATTGACTCTCTGTTGATTTTAAGGAAGCTGCTAGTGCTGTTTAATCACGAATTTGTGATTTTTTCAACGGAGGAAGAAATTAGTGAATTGGCCAGTCAATCTTTCAATCGCTTGTCAGAAGCTGAAATCATCTCAGTGGATAATGCTGTCATATATCGGAAAATTCCGCACTTCCTTGAGCAAGCTGCATCTGCTGTGCAGGCAATTTCGACATTTTTCAGATATCCCAGTTTTTTTTAAGATCTAACACAAAGGTTGATAAATTTGCTTCACATGTAGCGTAATGATAAATGGCCGTAGTTCTCAAATTAAGGCCACCCTGGAGCGGTGCTGGTGGGAAAAAATCGGTGCATCTGCGGCACGTTTCGATGCCAAGTTGATGTCGTCCAGATTAGTATCGTTTTTGGTCGTAAATTGATATTAATATTCCTACGATGCCGGGTAAACTTCGCATCAGATGTTTCACAAGCGTCCCTCGAATTTGGAAAGGGGCCTCGATTACTTTTGGCAAAGTGATATCATTTGAACTATCAAATGCCTCCACCTCCCATACTTAATGAATTCGCGCCAGCTTTTGGTACTGATAAGCAGAGCAATATTCCATCTCTTGTAGAGATCGGGTGCAGAGGGAGTTTTGAATTTCCACTTTGATTTTGAGTGGTCACTATGCCCTGCATGTTGCTAATCTGATGAAACGTATGGTACACCAGTGTTTATTTATGCTGACACGTCGTTCAGTTTTTATATGGGCCTTTTCGTAAAAATTTTTCCAAATCGAGGCATCCCTTTACAGCTGTTTATCATCAAATATCAATGCGTGATGCAGTCGCTGATGGAACTGAAGGAAGATCAGTTTACGGAAAAAATGCTTTTCGACCATTCGCTGCAGTTTGCGGTTAATTTGCACTCAGTACATGCGCAACAGCCGATTTGCATCACGTCGGATCTAGTTCGAAATGCATTGCTGGCATTATGTAGTTTAAGCGCTGTTACGAAACATGTAAGTATTCAGATTATCACTGGAATACTCTGAGTGTTGCCCTTCGTTGTGCTTCAGGCTGGCGGGAGCATTTTCGTAATGCGCGGTTTTGAGCACGTTGTATTCGTCCTGCCCCATATGGGCACTCAACTGGATTGTTCTCTTCCACCGGCTCTTCTCAGCATGCCGTTATCGTGGCTTAAGCACCTCTCCACACTGTTCCACCTGTAATTTGCAGAAACACAGCAAAGCTGAGGGAAATTTTTAGCCATGCTTTAGACGGAGTATTGTCCGGATGAGGTGCAAAAAAGAGCTTTTTTGTTCTTTGCTATGTGTAGAATTGTTCTGGTTTGACGTGCACAGCATGCGAAAAAGCCACACCGCCTTTACGTACTTTTCCAAACGACATCGGAAAAGCTGATACTTGTTGTTGGTGAAATTTTATAATTCAGTCCACTTTTGAATGCACGAATTCTCGCGGGCAGCGAAGTACGGAATGGATTTTAGTTACAACCTTGAAGCAACTCGGTTTGGAATTTTCAGTGGTTTAAAAACTTTTTTTTTTGTTTCTAAAAAATCAGATAGATCTAATGAAGTTATGAAAGCATACGTTTTTCAGGATGGAAAACAATACATGGTTAGGAATGACGCATTTGATTTGCGGAAGTGGATACACCTTCTGGATCGAGTCAGCTCATGTCAACTTCCTATTGATAGTGCTGTTTTTGTGTCAAAGATTTAAAGATGCAAAGAAGTTTTTGGACGTCTGTTGTTGAAAACAGGTACACACTGCGATTCCGGAGGTATTTCTTGTGGGCCGATATCAGTGGATCCAAGTATGTTGTTAAGTCCCGTTTTCCCCTCTTTCTGCCGGCATTTGTGGCGTTTTTTGAAGCAGCAGTGCTTTTGTGCCGAAGCATGTCTCGTTTACATAAAAAAAGGTCTAAATGTTTTGTTTTATGATAAATATTTGCGTCCAGTGACAGAATTCTCATCGGCTACGGTTCGTATGCTGGAACAGTGTCTTACCTTGCCTGCCCAAAAATAGCTGCCTTTCCACGTGTTCTCGCAGTGCTCATACATGTTTTACGCTGCAGTTTTTATGCATTTCTTGCATCTTTGCAAAGCAAAAACGCATATCGTCAAGGGGTTGTCTCTGTGTGTATGTGTGTGTGTGTGTGTATGTGTCCGTGTATATGTGTGTCTGTGTCTGCAGCGATTTTTCATCTCGAGACCTACAAAAGCTACAAGGCTGAAACTTTGGGAAATTCATCTACATGCACATACGGGCTCCCATCCCCAAAATGGGCGCTCTTACCCAGGTGGTTCTCACGTACGGGGCCGTCAGAGTTTTTGGCGTAAGCTGCTAATTCGGGAATCTGAAAAGCTGGAGAAGGCTGTAATTTTAAGGGGATGTCCCTCGTCCACTTAGGACTTATGAGTTCAAGCCCAGCCCCTAGGTTTGTGTGCTTCTTACGTACGAACCCGCAAAAATTTCTGGCGGGTAAGTTGCTAACTCTGGAACCAGGAAGCTAGAAAGCTGAGATTTTAAAAGAATATTTCCTGACAGTGCTGGTGGCCAGTCTCAATTCTTTTAGCTAGAAGCATCTGCCGGGAAAAACCTGCGGGGAACTATGCAAAAAACGCATCTTCGCATTAGCAGTCGGTGCGTTGGCCATTTGAATCTGGTGTTGGCGTTTCCGAACTCATTTTTATCTGCAGCTTTGACACCATTGAACTGTCACTGATACCAGCAACATCACTCGTTTGAAAATTTTACCTTTTCAGCTGAAATTCGTAGTCACAGTGAGCACTGTCATTCTGAAAATTCCCAAAAGGGCACGGCCGTTTTACCTTTTGGGAATTTTCAACTACACATTGAGACCGTTCTTCCATATCAAAACTTTTGCCCTGTTGCTCATTGAGACTTAAATTTTCCATCAGCTTGCAAGTCAGCACCGGCAAGAAGGTCATCGTTTACATTAAAAGAAAAGTTACATTACGAATCTTTGGGCAGTTTGCTTGCAGTTTTCAAAATTTCCGATCGGGTTGGTAGTGCAGCCTGAGTTGTTTCAGAGAGAAGGTCAGGTCAGTTCCTGCATAATTTAGAAAAAAGAAAATGGAACACATTTGGCAACATTCCTTAGTGAGGAAAAAATGTATAAGAATAGTAATTATCAGAACATGACGGGAAGGGATTTCGGGGAAAAGTTAACCCAAGAAGCTAAAATCTTGGGGATTTTCTCAATCCGGGTACGGCCTAAAGATTTCAAAATCAATTTTAAGAAATGCATAGATGTTGAGCACAGGCGAGTGAAAGTTCGAGGTGGGGGAATGTTAACACTCTTTCAGTTTGCTAGCAGACTGAGCAAAGTCCATGTTTTATAATGTTAGCTGTCCATGTGCGGGCCTGATTATAAAATGAGCATTTGCTTACCCATGCGCCTCACGGATTGATGCGTCAAGTTTTTCAACCGGAACGCTGCCATCCTCTTCTTTCGATAATCAGACAGACGAGAAAGATAAACTTGTTACGAGAATACTGGCACTTCCTATGCGAGCCAAAAGTATATTGTCATCTTTCACGATTGCCTGGGTATCGGGCAGCAGTACTGCTGACATCACGCTCCTTCCCTTTGTGGTAATCACAAATGCCAGAAAGCTGAAATTCCAGGGGAGCTTACAGCGTAACAATATCGTCGAATATGACACCTGTTTCTGTCACCTGTTGTATTGCTGATCAGGTAAGCTAGAAGACTGGAATTTTACGTGCACACGTGTGACCCAAAGATTTTAAATTCAGCTTTCACGAGTCCCCAACTGTCGTATAATTCCGCGACAAAGTTCGGGTTGGCGTCGTGCCAAAACGAGAATTAGACTGAACAGGAAGTTGTAGAGGGCTGTAATTTTAAAACTTTGTTTACTCATAAAAGCAAATTGAGCTTTCTGGCATTCCCATGCCTCGCGTGCAGTCACAATTTTGCAACTTTGAAACTAACCCAGCTGGAAAGCTGAGATTTTCGGAGCACTGCCGACAAATATTTTTGGGTGGGAAGACGTGAAAGTAACAGTCACGTCCTCACGCACGAGAATTTAATGTTTGATGTAATTTCCCATCCAACGCAGGCACGGTGCTGGGATTTTTTGAGCACGGCCCATAATCGCGTTTGGGCAAGCGCATGTGGAAATGGCACTCACATTTCCTCTCGCATACAAACGCGTGGAGTTTTATATAACTGCTCAGCCAAACCAATTAGAGTTCTGAATTTGCTGATTATGGCCTACAGTTGTGTTTGCTGAGGACTTTTGTGATGATTTGTGATAACTTGATTGTCTATGTCTATTCGTTTAGTTACAATCATTTGCCGGAAAAAACTAATGCTATTAGCGACAAAAATCCACAAGGGAAACTGTAGAATACGCATCTTCGCACCTGCAGCCGGTGCGGTGACAATGGTAGCTACTAAAACTCAACTTGGCCGTTACCCCCAGCTCTGCTGCTAACGCGATTTCGCGACGTCACTCGCCGACACTGCTTGATATCTTGCCAGGGACGCTGGGTAGCGCTACCTAGCGCTTGACGGGTGAAACGCGTGGTCGACGGGGGGCGCTAGGTGTGGAAGGGGGGAGAGAGTTAGGGTAGTTGGGGAGTGACAGTGGGTGGGTAGCTGGACCGGATACAGCTCCGGGAGCACGGACTGGGACAGGATAGAGGAAAGGAACAAGGGCACCAGTGAGGAGCTTGGAATGATTAATGGTGACAATGATTGGGTGTGGCGAGGTGATAGCTGCCCAGATGCGGCTATGGAGGCAGGATTTGGGGGCAAGATGAAGAAGGGGAACAAAAGCACTAGTCAGGAGTTCAAGGCAAGAAATGGAAACGGTAGTAAAGAGGAAGAGACAACATAGCAGTACAAAGAAAATTAATTGAAAGAAAATCTAAGCATATGAAAAAAAATAAATGGCCAACGCACGGGCTGCCCGTGCGAAGATGCGTTTTTTGCAGAGTTCCCC